AGATCTGCATATATTACGAACGGTACATATTCCCTATTTTTAAAATTTTTAAATCTTAAATATTTCTCGCTATCATTTGGTAAAGTAATTTTAGTTTTGTTTAAATTTTGACAGTCAATCAAATGTCTTTGTAGATTTTCTTCTGTTGTGAAGTTGTTTAAACAACGGTTACATATCCATTTTTTGTTTTTTCTGTTTTTCATTTGCCTATTTAATAGCCGTGAAAGGTTATTAATTAATGTAAAATGAAATATTCTATTTGACTTAACTACATTCTTAGTTACTTCACTATCAGATTCTGAAAAAATGCTTTCATCATCACTATCAACCATATCATTAACATTTTTTTCTATACATGGAACCATTAATAAATTAATACGAGGTGAAAAATCTGTCTTACTAAGAGAGAGTGGCGTGATAGTATTTTTATCAATTGTGAAGATATTAATCGATAAATTGTTCATTTTTTCAAATTTATTAACATTATTCAATGTAATGGGGAAACTAATTCCATCATATTTAAGAATGTTACTAAAGTGCGGATAAGATGTTGTTTTTGTTAAAGTTAATTAACAAAGAAAATTTTATATGTACAATATGAATATCTGTTTGTGTTAACTTTTAGACACCTTTATTGTGTTATCGTTTTCTGCTCCGATACCGGATTTTTTGTCTAATAAGCAGGTACGCAAAAAAGCAGCGGTGGACAGCAGCGAATATAATATTGCTTTAATTGTTAGTTCTAGATCTGCCTCCTGTACAACAGTACATGTTTCATTAAATAAATTTTTCTTTTATTATTCTTGGCTATTATCACTGTGTGTTATTACTGGCAATACGCAACAGGTTATGGGCCCAGAACACAAGTAGCAAAAAATAATATTCGAAAATACGTTTTTCGTGAGTTTTTCGGTAGTTTGATCGGGAGTTTTTCAATTGTTTCGATACGAGCAGTTTTACTGTGTATTGCGAAATAGAGGCCGACAAATTAAAAATTGAGAAATTACGTGATGCAGATAATTGGCAAATGTGGCAGTTTATAGTGCAAATTATATTGGATAGTGAAGATGCATTGGCCGTTTATCAAGGAACTGAAGAAAAACCAAATTCGAAACGGAATTCGAAAAGAAATTAAAGAAATGGACAAAGGCTGACAGATTTGCTCGAAAATTGTTTGTTACGTCCGTGGAAGCAAAACCGTTGCAATTATTAATGAATTGCGAGACAGCGCGTGATATGTGGCAAAAGTTGCATAGTGTTTACGACCTAAAGTCAGACGAAAGCTTGTCCTTAATACAAAAGCAATTTTTTGAGTACAAGTGGGAATCTGGAGGTAACATGGCGCAACATGTGTCCAAGTTAGAGTAACTGGCGAACAAAATGAAAAAGCTTGATGGAGAAATTCCGGAATCTATGTTGATGACGAGAATATTATCGACTTTGCCATCCAAATATAACTATTTTCATAGTGCGTGGGATTCCACAGAACCAAACAAAGGAACGCTGGAAGTCCTAACAACTCGCCTTTTAACTGAAGAGATGCGCATGCAAAAGCAAGAAGAACAAGAAGTTGAATCAACAGTTGCTTTGTTATCTAAGCAAAAGATTCATAGAAGTGAGGGAATTGTCCGGGGAAAAACGTTTAAGAAGCAACTTCGTTGTTTTACGTGTGGAAAAACTGACCATTTTCGGAAAGATTGTTCGGGATGTGCTTTGTGCGGCTCGAAACGGCATCTAAAGAAAGACTGTCCTAAAAAGTCGAAATCGCGAGGTGAATCTAGTAGTAGTACGGATGAACAGCATGCATTCGTTGGTACCGTGCCCACTACTGTGCCTATCGATAGTGATAACGATCAGTGGTTGATTGACTCTGGAGCATCGGACCACATGACCAAAAGAATGGAATGGTTTTGTGAATTCGAACAATTTGCTGATCCAGTTATGATTAAAATTGGAAACGGTTCCAAATTAACGGCGTTGGGTCGTGGTGTAATTAATGTTCAAACTTTCAATGGTTCCGTATGGCTTTCCGGAAAAATGTACGATGTACTGTATGTTCCAGGTATGGTGCACAATTTATTTTCCGTAAAGGCAGCATCAAAACGTGGTGTCGATTTTGTTATCAGTGAAAAAGCAAAACGGCGTGTGTTTACGCGAAACGAGAAAATTGAAGCAATCGGTAAAGAATTTAAAAACCTTTATCGTATCGTTTTACGGGTCGTCTTACCGAAATCTGCGTGCGTCGCGAACTCCGACAATTCACTTCAAGTGTGACACGAAAGACTTGTTCATCAAAATAAGCGACATGTTCGGGATGTTCTAAAACAAAACGATGTGAAAGTATCTGAAGTTGACGATGATGACTTGTGTGACGGGTGTGCATTTGGGAAGATGCATCGACAAACCTTCGGAAGAAGAAAAGAATCTGCAAAAGAAATAAGAGACCTCATCCATTCCGATGTTTGTGGACCCATGAGTGTGCGGTCACCAGGTATGAAACGTTACTTTGTACTTTTCAAAGACGATTTAAGTGGATACCGGGTTGTTTATTTTTTGAATCAAAAATCAGAAGTAAAAGAAAAACTTGAACTATTTTGTGCGGAAATTCGGACGCGTTTTGGTAGAAACATTAAAGAATTAAGAACCGATGGCGGAACTGAGTACACCAACAAAGAGGTTCGCGCTTTCTTAAATCGTAATGGAATCAAGCACACGGTTTCAACACCATACACACCCCAACAGAATGGTTCGGCAGAAAGAGAGAATAGAACTATTATGGAAACGGCACGTTCTCTTCTTTATTCTAAACCAGATTTACCAAAATTTTTATGGGCTGAGGCAGTCAATACAGCCGTGTATGTGATAAACAGAACGGGAGCAACGAAATTTGCAGGCAAAAGTCCCTTTGAGCTTTGGTAAGACAAGAAACCAAAATTTGAAAATTTCAAGGTTTTTGGAACTGAATGCTTCGCCCATGTTCCACAACAAAAACGTCAAAAGTTAGACAAAAAAGCTTTACGTGGCTATTTTGTTGGTTACACAAAAGGAGTTGCGGGGTATCGTGTTTGGATTCCAGAACTACACGATGTCGTTTTAAGTCATGATGTGATTTTTAAAAAGGAAGTTACTGACAAAATGGTGCCTGTAGATAACAAGGTGGAAACCAAGTCAGATGATCTCAATTCAAATGGAGATGTAGATGATACATCCGAAGTCGTTTTAAAGAAAGAAGAAAAAGAACTTCCAAGATTACGTGATAGACATAAATTAAGACAACCGGATTTTTATGGTGTACCTGTAGCGATGTTTGCCTCAAAAGAACCGGCTAATTATGAAGAAGCTATGAAATCAGCTGATTCAGAACAATGGAAACTAGTAATGGATGATGAGATACGTTCGCTATTCAAAAATAAAACATGGACTTTAGTAGATAGACCACCAAATAAAAACGTCATAGACAATCGTTGGGTTTATAAGATCAAAAATGACGCCAATGGATGTCCAACTTTTTATAAAGCTCGTCTAGTTATAAAAGGTTATTCTCAAAAGAGAGGTATTGATTATACAGAGACTTTTAGTCCAGTGGTGAGGTACGATACAGTGAGAGTTTTGTTAGCCACAGCAGCTATGCAAGATATGAGTCTTCGACAATTCGATATCAAGACTGCATTTCTGTGTGGAACACTTCATGAAGAAATTTACATGAAGCAACCAGAGGGTTACGAAGACGGTTCACTAAAAGTGTGCAAGCTTTTAAAAAGTTTGTATGGATTAAAGCAGGCTTTACGTTGCTGGAATTCCTGCAAAGTCAAGGTTTCAGGGAGAGTACTGCAGATCCATGTTTATTTATTAGTAAAAGACCAGAAAGAGCATTGGTTGTTCTGTATGTAGACGATGGATTAATAGTAGCAGAAGACGAAAGTTTTGCTGAAGAGTTTTTGGGGAGTTTATCTCGAAGATTTGAAACCAAAATATTTCGAACAGTTGGTAGTTTTCTTGGAATGGAAATTACGAAAGTGAATGGATCGTTATTTGTTTGTCAGACGATCTATGCAAGAAAAGTTTTAGAAAAGTTCAATATGTCAGAATGCAAGACAGTATCTACGCCAATTCAAAGTGGTTGGGATGAGGAAATTAATGAAAGAACTGAAATAAAAGACTTTCCTTATAGAGAAGCGGTTGGCAGCCTGATGTATTTGCAAGTCATATCTAGACCAGATATAGCTTTCGCCGTTGGTGTGGCATCCAGAGCATTGGATAAACCTGCTAGTGCTCATGTTCAATTGGTCAAACGAATCTTTCTCGTTACATCAAGGGAACATTGGAACTTGGGTTATTTTACAACAAGGAAGAAGGGTTCGAAGCCTTTAGTGATTCCGACTACGCTGGGGACAAAATCCCAAGGAAATCGACCACCGGAGTGCTTTGCAAGTTGGGAAATGCAGCTGTTGTATGGAAAAGTAGAAAACAACAATGTGTAGCGCTTTCTACATCAGAAGCAGAATTCGTAAGTGCGGCTGAAGCAGTGAAAGAAATTGTGTGGTTAAATCGATTGTTTAACGAGATCGGTGTGAAAATAAATAAAAATGTGCTACGAGTAGATAATGTCAGTGCAATAAAACTCGTTAAAAATGCCGAATTTCATCAGAGATCTAAACATATTGATGTGCGGTTTTATTTTATAAGAGATCTTTATATAAAAGGTATTATTGATTTGATTTATGTTACTAGCGAGAATCAAGTGGCTGATGTGTTTACTAAAGCATTAGGGAAACCCAGATTTGAAATGTTAAGAAATAAACTGGGTTTAGCATTTAAGAATGATGTTTGTGTTTAATATTTTTTTTGTCATTCGCTTAATGTAACTTGTACCTATTAAGTTTTAGGGAGAGTGTTAAAATTAATTAACAAAGAAAACTTTATATGTACAATATGAATATCTGTTTGTGTTAACTTTTAGACACCTTTATTGTGTTATCGTTTTCTGCTCCGATACCGGATGTTTTGTCTAATAAGCAGGTTCGCAAAACAGCAGCGGTGGGCAGCAGCGAATATAATTTTGTTTTAATTGTTAGTTCTAGATCTGCCTCCTGTACAACAGTACATGTTTCATTAAATAAATTTTTCTTTTATTATTCTTGGCTATTATCACTGTGTGTTATTACTGGCAANAAGTCTAAATACCTGAATTGACGAGGCGTGCACTGTTTTTCTTTTTTCTTGAACGCAAATGTCAGCGGTCGATGATCGGTGAATATGCTGAATTGTCTGCCTTCTACCATGTGTCGAAAATATTTTATGGCTTCGTATATAGCTAGTAGCTCCCTGTCGTAGGCTGCATACTTTCTCTCTGTTGTCGTCAGTTTTCTCGAGAAAAATGCCAATGGTTGCCATGATGAATCGACTAATTGTTGTAGGACTGCACCAATGGTTAAATCTGATGCGTCAGAGAAAACTGCTAGTGGCGAGTCGGGTGTAGGATGAGCAAGCAAGGTAGCTTGGGCTAAACTATCCTTGCATACCTCAAATGCCTCTTTGGTTGTTGTTGTCCATACCACTGGTGTTTTGCCTTTTGCGTTGCCTTGTAATAAGTTATTCAGCACTGCTTGGACTGTTGCTGCATTAGGAATAAATCGCCTGTAGAAATTCAACATGCCCAAAAAGCGACGAAGTTGTTTCACAGTTTCCGGCAACGGATACGAACGAATGGCTTCTACTTTCTCAGGAAGAGGCTGCGTTCCTTCACTAGACACGAGATACCCGAGAAACTTAACTTTTGATTCGCCAAACACACACTTCGCGGGGTTAATGACCACGCCGTAGAACTGTAGACGCTCAAATAGCGCCCTTAGATGACATTCGTGCTGCTCTGGCGTTTCTGATGTAAGCATAACAAAAGTCCATTCCACGAAGCACTTCATCTATAAATCTCTGAAAGGTCTGCGCAGCGTTCCGAAGTCCAAAACCCATGTACGGAAATTCGTACAACCCGAACGGTGTGGTTATCGCTGTTTTCATTATGTCTTCTTCAGCGACCGGAATCTGGTGAAAGGCCTTCACAAGGTTTATGGTAGAGAAGATTTTTTTGTTGGAGAGTGTCTGCGAAAAGTCGTGAATGTGACGTACCGGATATCTGTCGGGTTTCGTACGAGCGTTCAAGCTCCGGTAGTCACCACACGGTCTCCATTCATTCCCTTGCTTCGGCACCATGTGAAGTGGAGAGGACCAGCAGCTTTTGGAGGGTCTTGCAATTCCTGTTCTCAGCATGATATCGAACTTCTTTTTGGCAATTTTTAGCTTGTCTGGGGCTAGCCGTCGCGGTTTATGAGCAACGGGTGGCCCTGGCGTAGTTTCGATATGATGCTTGGTGTGATGTCTCGTGCTCTTCACCACTCCATCTGGTCGCGTTATTTCCGGAAACTTGGATAGCAGTTCATGAAAAATTGTAGAACCGGAAATGGTCTTGATACACGGAAGACTTCCGTTCGCGGCTGTCCCTCTAGCAGTGATTTGTGTCGTCGCAACCTGGAGTTTTCGATTTCTTACATCTACCAGAAGATTGTAATATGAAAGAAAATCGACACCTATTATGGGCTTTGAGACGTCAGCAACTACAAATCTCCACGAAAAATCACGACGTAGACCGAGGTTGAGAGTTAAGGTGATTGTACCGAAAGTCGCTATTGTTGTTCCATTGGCTGCGCAAAGTTGATATGTTGACTTTTGACACGGTCCCTTTACGAGCGAACGGGGATATACACACAAATCAGCTCCGGTATCTATCAGGAACTGTGTTTTGGTTTGGACGTCGGTCACGAAGATGCGGCGAGATACTGAGGGGCCTAGGTCGTCCGCCGACATCAACGACTCCCCGTAGCGTTTCCCGAATCTGTCGTCTGGAAAGAACAGGGTTGGGTGCATTTTCGAGCGTTGGACCCAAATTTCCTATAGTACCAACAACTACCACTGGATGCACTGCGGTTTCGGAAACGAGGACGTGAACTGGAACGCGATCTTGACCGTTGTTTATGTTGGTATCGCAGTTCGGACACTTCTTGTTTAATTGATGCGATCTCTCTCTCTGTAGCGTAAGAGTTAGCTGCTGTAGTTGTGCTGCTAATTGATCACCAGGGGACGACATGGTTTCTGCTACTCGTGGGCGATTGTCCGTTAGGTCCATAATAGAGTCAGCTAAGTCAGCCAACTTTTCTAATGATAGGTCGCGATGTGCGGCTAAAATAGCTTGCATGCTTGTTGGTATGCGAGCGAACCACAGCGTCCGCAGCATGGACTCGGGAACGGTGCTGCCTGCAAGTCCTTTTAGATGACGGAGAAATTGCGACGGCTTTCGGTCCCCTAACTCTTCCATCTCTAGTAGGCGTCTGGTTTTCTGCTCCTGGGACGTGCTGAGCCTTTTGACCAACTCTGCTTTTAGTATCTCGTATGCGTCCCTTTCAGGCTTGTTGACTATGATGTCTCTAACTTCTAAGGCGTATCGTGGCTCCAAGGCTTCTATGACGCAACTGAACTTGGTGGCGTCGGTAGTCACTTTCGCATTTGCAAAGCTACTTTCCACCATTGCAAACCATAACTCTGGATCTGCAGGGATGAACGATGGTACACGAAATGCGACGCGGTTGACGGACAATGCGATTTCTGAATCGGTTGATGTCTGGCTACTATTCCCGACAGAATTGTGCAAAGCCATTTTCGAGAAACAATCACGACTCGCGCACACACAAATAATACACAGCAAATGTACTTACAGTTTTTTGGACGTGTACTACCACAGTTTTGTCACTATTTGTTGGATAATACTTTGCTTTTCGCTGGATCGCACTTTCGCTTTTCCGTCGGGCACTATTTGTTCTTCGTCGGGCACTCAGAAGATTCTCTACTTGTTCTTCGTCGGGCACTCAGAAGATTCTCTACTTGTTCTTCGTAGGGGTCACCAATTTAGGTTTTTTGGTGGAATTAAACACACTTTGCAAAAGTAAAATTACTGAATAAAACACAATTAAAACTTAACAAATTTAATTAACGATCGCTGAAGGATGAAGTAGAACAGTTGAATAATAGATCGGAAGTGTTAGTAGTCTTGAAAATAAATTTTAACGAAGATTAAAAGGGTGGAGCTAGAAGTATTTTAACTAAAGTAGGGATCGAATCAGAAGAGAATGAAACTTGGAAAGAGTGATTAGATGAAATACTAAGAAAAAGATTTCGCCCCAATGTACCTAGAAACCCAATATTAAAATGCAATTAAGAAGTAATAAGAATTATACAGCTCATGCTGTTAGTAAACGAAATTAAAATGTTAAGGGATTAGTGGAAAGTACAAGTAGTAAAGTAATTTGTAGAGAGAATAATAGAAAGGTACAGATACAAAAGGTTTTGAGAAGATACATTTGAAAGCATATTTACATAATAACAATAGGAAATATTTACAAAAGAAAGAATTGAATTATACGTTACAATATTGAGTTGGGAAAAATATCAATATATCAAATATCAAAAATATATAAGTGATATCATATCGTAACAAAAATATATGTGGCAAATATGTGTAGCCACA